TGATAGATTGCATTAAATATTATTTAAAGAACGTATTTTTCCATCAACTAGAATGCCTAGAAAATCTGTTCCAAATGAGATGACACAAGTCAGTGGATGGCAATTTCTGGTTTTATTCTCCTTAGAATTTTATCAGCTTGAAAGAAAGGTAACTTCCAGATAAGTACATGCAATCTCCTGTTTCCGAGGCATTAAATTTCATCCACAATAGGATTCTCACAATCACATACCTCAACAGCAGGAAACATTTAAGTATCACCTTCACCATCTTCACTCTAGCACAGCCTTGCTTTAGCCTTAACCATTCCACGATCAATCTGTATGATTCAAGTAACTATTTTTGCGCCTAACATTGCAGTACAGGAGACGTGACCTCCTCCCTTATGACTGCAGACTTTCATGATAAATGTGCTTTGATGCCAAGCTAACCTGTAGGCTTTTCTTCCCTTCCATTTAAGAACAAATGTGATATGAATAAATTGTTTCTGTGCCTTAGTGCAGAAGAAAGTTCCAGCTTTGCATACTGAGCCGACTGGGGAAGACTCTTCCTTGGAGACCTGCAAATGTGCAGGAAGGAGGCCAGCATCCTCCAGAGACTCGCAGCGATGCTTTAAAGAGCAAAAATGGGTTCCAAGTTTGTCTTCTGTAACACTGAGGGGATAAATAAAAGCTATTTCCCACAGGGTACACTTCATGTTTGCATTTACACAAAGTTTCCTTCATTTGAATACACTGTATTTGTCCCACAAGGACTTGACCTTTTTGCTTGGATGCTGCTATCCTAAAACCTTCCTGTAGAAACGCAGAACCATTATTTGCCAAATGTGGGAGATGAAAACTCAAACTTGTAACACTTATTGCTTATTTCAGCTATTCTTCCACATGATTATCCAAAAAGAAATGGTGAACTTCGTTCTTCCTTAAGTCATTATTACTACTGGCTCCGGGAGCATGTCAGATGTTCATGTTTGAAGACTGGATAAACAACCAGAAATCCAGATGCAAGACAAAAGCTACTGGTGGGAGGGTGAAATGAAAACGGATAAATCTCCTTTCAAAAATACGAGATTTCATATGGACTGTCACTATTTTGCAAAAGTATGATGAGGAAGGAGTTCTACAACTCCAAGCTGAAACACATAATTAATACTGATATATTTGCTGAGATCTCCAGGAGTTGCTCCAGGCTGCGGATGATCACCAGTACAGTGACTCCTGCCACCTCCAGAGTCCCATAATTTCCAATACATATATTACAAGGTTTTTTTCAGAGTGAGGTCCACATACGGCAGGATTTTAAAGTCAAGAGGTAGACTTGACTCTCCATGGGTTCATCTGCTGCCCCAGTCTCTTCCACTCCTTCAACAATTGAGAGTTATGCCCAGCTTTTGGCACAGACTGTCTATTTTTCCATGAGGAAAATACCCTCTGTGACTTGGTTGACTTCAAAAGGCTCGAACAACAGAGCCTGTCTTTCAGATGAACCTTTCCCTCTGGTACTGGTGGTCAGATAGGCCTACAGAGATTAATTCAACTCTAAACACCACAGAGCTAGAAATCAATCAGCTCTGCAAGACCTCTTCTGCTTGGGCGTTCTTCCCTCTCACTTGCTCTGAAGTTGAAGGAGGGGCAGAGACGGTGATGGGACCTGGCAGGCAGCTTCACAAACCAGCAACAAAGACGGGAATCGCTCAAGAGACTGATGGGCCACACCAAAAACGACTGTCCACGCTCCAGGGATGCGGCAGAAAAATCAACACGCAGGCTCCTGGGCCATGCGCGTTCCTCTGCTCCACCTCTCTGTGGAGCATAAAGTGCCCCTACTTCAACCACAGCTCCCAGGGAGATCTGCTTCAGGGGGACAGAAACCAAAGGGGTCTAAGTTTTAAATACCTCTGACTGTTCTCATCCTTCAACCTAAATTCCGGGGCCCTCAGGAAGCCGAGACCTCAGAGCTACGACGGGTTCAGCAGCTTCCCACTAGCTAAACCACAGCTGTAGGGGAAAACTGAAGAGAAGAACCACAGCCCAGCCCAGAGCCTTCAGAAATGAAATGACGGCACAAACTCTGGAAGATGAGGACTATTAGCAGGTAATCATAAGCTCCTCTAATTATTACAGATTTTTTAAAAATCTGTGTGAGACAATATGCAGAACGTCTGAGTCACTTTCTTTGATGGCAGCAAACACATCTCTGCGTTTAAGGAAGGATTTTTTCTCTCTGCATTCCCCCTGCATTTACTGTAAGGAGCAGCACCTTTCTATAGCTCCTCTTCTCCAAAACCTACGTTTGCCAATGAGATTTCTTCAGTCATCTGGCAAATTCTGTACATGATCATGAAAAAGAATTTTGACAGCAACACTCACCTCTTCTTTTAATGGCCATTTCCTATCTGACAACTATCCTTGTCCGTCTAACAGGCACAAATGACAGAAATATCTTTTCGTTACCAGGAATGATCACTTTATGCCTCTAGTGACAAATTTAAGAAAGCTCCTGTACAAACCACCCCCACCAGGTTGGCATCAGAGGCACTCTCAAAATGACATAGCTTCAGCCTCAGAAGGAAACAGCACAGAATGCACAACATTAGCCCAGATATCTGGCGCTGTTAGCGTCTTAATACCACGCAATAACATACTCGGTATGTTCACAATACCATGCATTATTTCACAATATCAGCAAACTTTTTATTTCAAGGGTAGCAGAAGTGTTGCTGAAATAGAGTCTGCACAGACAAAGCTGGCTGGTTCTTGTGAGCTACCAGCAACTGAGGTTAAGTCAGCAAGACTGTGCAATTAATTTGTTTTATGTGTTGTGCAGAAACATTGTAAAATGAAAACCAGAATATTTTTTTTTTTAAATGCTAACGGTAAACATGTTATTGAAGACATAAACAGAGAGAAGGTATCCCCCAAGAGATGAGCCAAAATGAAGTGTAACGTCGCCCAGACACAGCCCACCCACACGCAATAACAACTGCTCAGCATTCCCAGCAAGAAAGTTGTTCCTTCTCGTAAAAATAACCCCAGAAAACGCCCCAAATCTACTAAATTAAACCCAGACACCATCAAACTGGACTGTTGTGTTGAAGTACCGTTCAAGTGCTTTCCTTCAGGCTGGAGCAAGGGGTCCCTGCCTGCCCCGGGGCATTCAGTTAACATGAAAGAACATTTTTAAATAAAGTTTTAAGAGACACCTAAGGAATAACGCCTGCTAACGTTATTCAAGGCTGGAAGGAAAAATAGTTTGGATTCGGCTCTCTGGACCACAAGGCTATGACATAATTTTAGCTCTCTCCAGGATCCAACATTATAAAGGTTCCTCGTTCATTCAGATGCAAGTGGAAGATCTGAAAGGGGTTTTTAAAGACTTGATCCTTCCTGGCCAAAAGCTCACAGACGGACACTCAAGACCGTCTCAAACAACATCCATCATGTAAAGCTATGCTCAATGCTCCCTCTTGCGATGCCATTGATTTGCATAATTTATTCCCCTTTTTTACTTTCTGCTGTACCCTCTGGCAGGACATCGACACTACATTAGCTGGTTTCACTCGTGTTGAGAATTATTTTTTGCTGAACTTTTCAGATACAGTGGTGCACCACCAGCAGATAGGCTGTTCTGGCATTAAGAAAACAGCCTGCATCTTCAGTTAAAAAAAAAATAAAAAATGGGGGGATGCAGAGAAATTTCCAAAATAAGGAAAGCTAGCTGTCCACTTGGCATTTTCTTATATTGCTCAGGATACCAGGTCAGAAATATTAAAGGCTATTTCAAAATAAAATGCAGTAGTGGAATCCCAGAGGCCCAATAACAATATCCTTTCCCCATTGTCCTGACTTTGTTTGCTTGGAAACAAACCACATGAATGATTCTAGTGTTTCAGAAACTTTGTAAACAGGCAATGCCTCATTTGCCCATTCTTCCTACAAAAAGAGATGACAGCATAGACATATTTAATAGCTGCTTGCATACCTTGGGAAAAAAAAAAAAAAATAAAATGAACAGCTGCCAAACAATCCAGAATCAACATGGCCTACAGGGATTCGGTACGGAGAAATCTCCTATTTTGGGGCCCAGCAACACTAGGGAATTGCTGCCATAAACATAGTCCTTGCTCAGTTATTGAACTTTGCAAAATTAAAATAGACTAAAAATAAAACCCCAAACCAAAGAAACACAACTTTTCTGTCCCAACAATTCCAAAATTAATTTTACTACAACAATTACCAATTACCCCCACTTACTATCCTGGTACACCCTGAATTTGATTATGTATTTACCATGACCTAGGTATAAAGCTATTTTAAGGATACACTATTTCACTAATTCATATTACCACACAGCTTGTGTTGCAAATAAACAAGAGTTTCAGTATTTAAAAACTCTGATCAAAGAGCAGGCATGTGATGCAATTGTTTATATGTTTCCAGGGAGACCTAAAAAGCTAGAAAACAAAGACCTAAAAAGCTAGAAAACACCTGTTGGTTTTAAGAGGTTCCCATGGGAGTTCTTAAACATGGAGTTAAAAATTAGACAAATACCTCTGCGGTTTCTGAGTTTTGTTTCCTTTTGGTCCCGAAAACTAACAGAATCTGTTTAATACTTTTTGAAAATGTAGTAGCTACTGCTCAGCTGCTGCAAACCCCGAAGCAGCAAATTCTGACATCCCACCAATTCCCAGCAAACGCATTAGTTCTTCTGATGTTTACATGCTGTATCATTTCTAACTATTGATTTCAGATGCTGAAACTACGCAAAAAAGTTCCCCATTTCCTTCTGAGATCAGAACAGTCTTTTGCAAGTGCATTTATATTCCATAGATACAATTCACTAATAAAATATTAAAAAAAAGTAGACGAATACTACAAGGAATCTTTAAAGAAAGCCTAATGATATTAAAAACAAAACAAAACAAAACAGACCTTACTTGTGAGAAAGATAAACATATGTAAAAGACAGACATAAGCCCCAGATACTAAAGAGTTGATACCACCTTTGGCTCAGAGAAGAGATGACTTCCCTACACTCCGGCCTTGCCGTAGACAGGATGAAACAAATCAGTGCTGAACATGGTCATTTTTTCCCCTCGAGCTTTGTTGCTTCTGTCCCAGAGGAAAATTCTAGTTTCTATGCAGAGATAAAGATTGCTGTCAGCCCCTTGAATCAGACACCGTGAATAGCTTCAGTGTTTGGCAGGGTATGACGAGCGAGCTCCAGAGCCAGTCGTGTTGCCCAACACAATGGGTGTTTGTGGTTCCTCCAGCCAGGGTTGAGCAGCAGCCCACTAGACATCAACAGATGCGCTTGTACCACCTCTGGTGAAAAATACTCCAAAGAGATACAATATTTTCTTATAAGATTTCAGCTTTTTCGTTTCATCCTCACATTTCGAAGCCACTTTCAGTAACTACCATCAAAGCCTCAGAGTGTCTCAAAATGAAAGGCAATCAAGAAATGGGCTTATCTAGGTGAAACCTACAGCCCAGGCAGATTCAATTCATTAAAAAATGAAGGCAGATCTTGCTATAAAAATCATTTTTATGACAAAGTCTTTAATGTGCCTAAGGAGGCCTTTGCAGGGTGTTCTTTGGATTCAGGTAGTTCTCACTCAAAGCAAAAAGAGGAAAGGCCATCACCCTTACCAGCTGCAACTTCTGCCCTGTACCTGGTTATACAGGGAAGGTGATGACCAGCAGAGTCAGGAATTCACAAGCCCACTTCAACTTTTCAAACCCTGCCCCTTCTGTTTTTTGTTTTTTTTTTTGTAGCTTCACCCATCTGCCACCCAACCCAGGCATCATCACAGCCCTCTCTTGAATTCACAATTATCTGTTCTCTTTGTCTTGCCTTTCCCCAAACAGCTGTTTCCTGACACAAGCCACCTCCACCCCTGTACACTAAGCACCAACAGGCTGAAGTTTCACTTCAAGTCTTCAAAAACACACCTCGTTTTATTCCCATTCAAATAGTCCATGGACTTTGTCTACCAATATTTTATCAGGTTAACATTGTTAGTCGTATACCAGAAAAAAATGCATTAAAAATATTTTAGTCTATCTGTCTTGTTCTGTTGGCTTTGATAAGTTTTTAACTCAAAGAATCAGACTCCATATATAAATAGTTACAAGTAAATACATAAAGTGTACATTACCCAACGCTGGAACTCAACCAGTTAATCTCTGGGTGCTCCCTTCCCTCCTCAGAGAGAGGGACAAGGTAGGACAAGTGTCTTGAGACCCAAAGTTCTAGCAGAAACCCACAGGTTGTCTGAATTATCCCTACAGAAGAGTCTCTCCAGCAGCTAAAGACAGAGTTTCAGTAAACCAGCCTCATAGTTTAGGGGTACAGTGCTGGGGAGCACACACACACAACAGTTTATAAACTGGGAAATACAAGTTTTAAAGTTTCCAGTAATATTAAAATAGCAATGTAACTAGGTTCCTAGAGCTTGTATTTGTGCTTGGGATTGCCGTGACCCACAGGCAGGCACTTGGCCTTGCTGAACTTCATGAAGTTCACACAGGCCCCCCTCTCCAGCCTGTCCAGGACCCTCGGGATGCCATCCCTGCCCTCCCCCATATCCCCGCAACACACAGCTCAGTGTCATTGGGAAACTTGCCGAGGGTGCATCGATCCCACTGTCCCTGTCACCACCAAAGATGTTAAGCAGTGCTGGGCCCAACACCGACCCTGAGGAACAGCACTCATCACTGCTCTCCACTTGGCCATGGAGCTGTTGGCCACAACGCTCTGAGTGTGACCACCCGGCCAACTCCTCATCCACCGAGTGGTCCACCCGTCAAATCCACGTCTCTCCAATTTCGAGACAAGGACGTCACACGAGACAGCATCAAATGCTTTGCACAAGTCCAGGCAGATGACATGATCCTACTGCAGATTTTACTACCAGATACCTATTAACGCATCCCACCTGTCTGCTGTCCCATTGACCTTGAATCATTAGCCTCTATTTCTTGGCCATAAAAAAAAAAAAAACACACCTACAGAGAGCAGCAAATGAGGATATGCTATTTTCTGTAATAGAGCCCAGACACTTGGAAACCGCTTGAACCATGTCAGGCCCTTACTTTGTGTTTGCTACAAAGCTGCTGTTCCTGTTCTCGGTCATGCGATGGTTGTTACGGGGCTTCACGCTATGGGCAAAAGCCCAGGGATGAGGACGGTAACGCGGCAATTCACTTCCATGCAGAGAGCATGTATTTTGGGGAAGTAACTGTCACGCATATGAGTGACTGACAGCTTCAGAAATGTATTTTCCAACAGCTTAATAAAAATGAAGCCAGGTGGTTTCAATCAGTGAAGAGATTTACTACTTGGATGCAACAAGGGTTGAGAGCAGCAGGACTGTCAGAGCCTCTCACCAACACTGTGAAAAACATTACTGCATGTTGAATACGTTAAATGAATAAGCAGAAATCCACCGACCTTTCAACATGTCTTGGCATAGTAACATCATCATTTAAGACGTTAAAAGCTGCCCAGAGCACTGTTGGATAGATATGGGGCTGTGTCATAGCACAGGACAACAGCTTTATGTTCAGCTGCAAGAGAACAGGAGAACCTGGAGGTTTTGAAGGAGCCTATAGAATCACAGAATGGTTTGGGTTGGAAGGGTCCTTAAAGATCACCTCGTACGTTTATTATCAGATGTAAACTCCTATGTTTAGTAGAATTCATTAAATGTAAGAGTTTGAAATATATATATAAATTCAGGTATGAAGGAAAAAGTATATAACACACCTCTGAAAACTGGTGCACAGCTGTGAACGCATTTCTAGCTGGAAAACTGACAAAACATCAAGACATCGCTTCCCCCCCCCCCCCCCAGCCCCCCTGACAGCTGGGCCTGTTTCTGCAAAGGGCCTTTCGGCAGGAGAGTCCCTTCCTCTCCCACGCTCCGGAGCTGGTTCCAATTACAGCTCCCAGCGCCGGCAGCGTCCCGCGGGGGCAGGCAGCCCCAGCCCGGCTTTCGGAACGAGGTGCCCGAGGGAGAAAAGCTCAGGGATGGTCTGTCCCCAAACCACACACTGAATTGTTTTTAGGGGGCTCAACAGTTTCTCTCTGGAGGGGACGGATCTCGGCAGGCCAGAGCCAGGCTGCACGGGAACAGTGGATTCTCCACCCTCCAAGGAGTTCAAAATAAGCTTTGTCTCCAAAAATTGAGGGTCCTACCTTGCCACAAGAGCCAAGGTAAATAAATGCACCATCTCAAAAACCAAAGTATTTTTCTGTTGTTAATCTATTGCTAGAATACTTTTCATCTCATTTTATAAGCAGGATAATTTCTCCTTTAAAAAGATATGCCAGAGCCCTCCTCCAGAGGGAATTTTCTAACATAATCTTTTTTTCGCCTTTCCGCATTTCATAACCAGCCACCTTTAAGTCCAATTTCAATAAAAGTACACAGAGTAAAACTGTCCTTAAAGGACTTCTTCAGCACCAAGGTATCCTGCACAGTATCAATTACTTCAAACATTAGTCCTGGATGGATTGCAGGGGCAGGCTGGAGATAAAGCAACAGCAATGCCCAGGCTTTATACTCTCTTCCTTCTGAGAGTCCCTGTGTTTCATTTCTCTTTTATTCAATCCCCAACGAGGAACAGAAAGTACCTCCGTTTCCTACCAAGGCTGACGGCTATGAAAATGCCCACTGAAGTCAAATATCAGTTAGAAAGCACAATATCCCACAGAAGTCGGTATATTATTAGGGAACGGTACGGCGCAAGCTGTTTCCAACTTTAAAACCAGTATTTCAGTCTCATTTTCTCTCCTTCTAAGATACAGAAGACGCCACGGAGGATCAGCCACTGCAGGATCTTTTCTTGTCACTTTTTTCAAGCAAAACCAGCATCAGCAAGATAGATATTACAGCTGCTAAAACAGATGTGAAAGAACCTGGTAGATGAGGAAGGACAGAGTAAAAAAAAAAAAAAAAAAAAAAATCTGAAAGATACTGTGCACGATTAACCTGCCAAGTTTTACTATATTTAAATATAACATTACCAGAGGAAGAAGCAGTACGCAGACCTGCTGATGGGACAGCGGCCGACTGGCAGAACTGAGCCTGAAGGGGTTAACTGCATCCAGAGCTACGCTAGACAAAATATGTAATCTCTTTTGGAAGGCATTAAGCTTTCATGTTCAAGAATAAACTGCTAACCAAGGGCCCTTAGAAATGTAAAGCACTGTTTACAGAGCAAATTTTGAAGGTTCAGTGATTTTTTCAAGGAAATTATTCAAGTTTCTTCCTCTGAAGATCCTGGTAAATGAGGCCAAATTTCAAGGGCTAATAGTTTGATGTAGTACAGCAGTTCTGAAGCTTTTTCAGCACAAATTACAACTCAGTCAAGTCCCATGTACATATAACTTCTAAATAACTTCTGCAGTTTGCTAGTCAGAGACATTAAAAACAAAGAAAAAGTGAAGAATCCGACTGCCAAGAGCACATCCCTCTGCATCCCAGGTCAAGCCACATTGTGCCTAGGTGAAACAGAGAGGGACTGAGTGGAAGAGGAGCAAGTCTCCTTGGAAAATCACACATTGTAACAGCACTAATTATCTCAACATCACATCTTCCTAAATTTGTTTCTATTAGTGTAAACTAAGTCATGCAAATAGGTCATTATTTAAATATAGTTCCCTGTTTCCACCTTTTCCTTTCCTCCCCGCCTTCCTAGAAATATTTAAGTCACTAAAATTTCCTCTCCCCCCAGCTCTGCCGGGAACCAGAGAGGTGCTGGAGGTGGGAGGTTAGCCTGAGAAAAACTGATTAGAATTAAGTGTTGTATCTGTGGCCTTGAAATGTGCCCTCTGCCGAGTTTTTAATTTGGCTTTTCAAGACTGATCAGCATGTGTAATTTAAAAGCAATTTGAAGCAGCAAGCTAGGTAGTTTGACTTAAAATTAATGAGTTTTTGACAACTGCAAACAAAATGATAATGTAAACCCATTTAAACTCATCCTTATATTTAACAGGAAAAGCATATATCATTTTAACTTGTTTATACAGAGGCTTTTGGTTTGCATTATGAAAGCTTTTTTGCCATGGTCTTGCTCTCAGTAGCAATTTGCAAACTTTGCCCGATTGTACAAGATTAGTAGAAACA